TTGACCTTTGGAGACATCATTAATATAAATAATTTTTATGGCCGTTGAATAAGAAGTGTTTCTTTCACAAGAAATGTATAAAATTAGTGCTGTATTAGACTTACGGTACCTAATTTACATACTGTGCAGACGATAATAAACTCAACTTACTAGCCTAAAATCTCTGTAGCGTGTTGCCAGGTGGCAGAAAGCATATATATAATTATAATAAAGTTACAATAAATTAAGTTAAAGTAGCCAATGCATCAAATGATATTTTTATGCCAAACTAAAAAAAGGGTAGCCAGATCTTGCAATGCTGGAAGGAATACTAAAAGCTGGAGTTGGGATTCATAAGATTATAGACCCAAATGCAGGGAAAGGAAAGAAAGGATGAAAGATAAAGAAGTGAGGAAGGTTGGAAAATTAAGAATCAATACTTGCATAACATAAGGTCTATTTAACCTTTTTCACTACTTTTTATCTTTTGGCCTTTCTCTCTTTAGGCTACCTCGAATTAGGGTCTATAATCTTTTGAGTCACAACTCCAGCTTTATTTAGTATTCCTTCCTCATTCACACATTTCCAAATATTTGAAAATATTTCCTTTTCACTCAAAAATAAAATGTGTTATAAAGGTTTATGGCTTTGTGAAACTTCTTTTTTGAGTTTATGCCATTGAAATGAATAAATAAAAATAAAATTTAAAAATTTTAGGTTTTGTTTACATGTTTATTCAGCTTTATTGGAACTTGTCTTGGGCTGCAGGTTGGACACCCCTGATTTAAAATGTCATTTTAATATTTTTGGAAAAAATAATTCCATTAAGAAATAAATTATGTTGATTTATTTCTTGATTGTGTTGTTTGTGTTGATTGATCATTGTTTGTTTTTTAATTTAATTCTTAAATCTGTAATTTTATACTTTCTACAAGAAAGTGATCTCTGAAGATCAAATCATTTTATTATAAGTATTACAACAAATCATAATTTAAATGTTATGTTTTTGAAGAAAGAATATCATTTCTGATTCAAATATTAGTATAAACTTTTATAGTGTTTTCTAAGTCATTGAAATATTTTAATTAAATTGCTTTCATTTTAATTATTTATAAATAGTAATTAAGTTCTTTGTCATTTGAACCAGTTTTCAAAGTTAGAATGTATTAAAATTTTTAAGAATTGTTAATTTTAAACATGAATAGCTTAATGAGAAAGTTTTAAAGTCACTTTATGTATTTTGTTAAGAATTTTTCTTAACAAAATACATAAAGTTTTTGTTCTTGAAAAAATATCTATAAAAGTTAGTTTTATATGTAAGAATTTTTTGCTTGTGAGAAATTAACATATAATCTAATTTTGATAGGTAAAGTTATATGATCGATCATTAATGCCAGGTGATGTAGTAAGGAGGTTAATCAAAGGAAAAGATACTCAATTGGGCTATTGTAGGAATACACATGTTTTAGCTGCAGTACAGTTAATTGGAACGAAGCAAGTGATTCCAGATATAAATAGCAAAGACTTGATTCCACTTGAGGTAATGTAAATATCTAGTTTTATTATAGTAATTATTTAAATCATAAATTTTACATTTTGCTGGAATTTTTTCTTTTTAGGAATTCAGTGCAGATATTGCTGTCTTTCTTGATTCTTGGGTAGGAATGGTAAAAATAGTGAAGTCTGATATTACTGTACAATGTAATGATGGTTCAAGGTAATTAAAAATTGTTTTTATCATTCCAATAATACAAATGTAATTAAATAGTTTAGTATGATTTAGTAAGCAAAAGAAATATTTTATATTATTTATCATAATATATTTAAAAGAAAGTATCTGAACAGATTTTTTAAATTTTATATTCAAGAATTATTTTTTAATATAATTTCATATGAAAGATAGGAAAGATAGTTAAAGTTTATTATCATTACATTTTCAAAATTAATTTAGCTGAATTATATAGGCTAATTATTTTGGATTTTATATTTATTGGGAATGTGTGAGAATGAAGGAATAACAAAGGAAGTTAATGGTGAAAGCCCATAATGGTAGTTGAAAGCTTGAGTGGGAAAGCCATAAAAATGCAAACCCAACTGGGCTTATTTGAATGAAAATATTAATGCCCTTACTAAAGCCTACAGTGTTCCATGGTGTCCAGTAAACAAAGAAAACTGGATAACCTTTGGTCTTCGAACTCACATTTGAGTTATAAATAAACACTTGGCTTTATTTCCATCATTTTAGTTGATACGTGACAACAGCACGTTTTGGGCATAAAGCCCCTCATCAGTCGGGCATAAAGCCCTTCATAAAGCCCCTCATCATAGTGGATAACCTTTGGCAAATTGTGATAAAAATCACCAAAGTTTGTTTATAAACCAAAAACTTTTCAGAAATTAATTGAGTGAAGAAAACAGGAGCACCATTTTGTAGCCCTTGAAATGGCAAATCAATTGATATAACATAAGCCACACTAAACCAGAAAATCCTTTGAAAACTTCACAAAAATTGGGAATCAAATTTTGATACACTTAAGTCCTGGAGAACATTGTTAACTCTTGCACTTGTTGCCACAGATGAAGAAATCCTCACTAGGTGGAGATGATTCTTGCATTGTAAGCCAGAGAAGTGATACTTGCACAGAAAGATGATCCAAGAACAAAGCAATCAGCATTAGTTGCTTTGTTCTTGTGTTTTGTTCATTTGTTATTTTTTATTTTTGCTCCCTAAATTCCATTGGGCATATTCAATCATGTCAGGGAGCAAAGACATTGTCACTTTGATCTCACTGCATCTTGAAAATGAAGTCATAGACTCCCATTTCTTTCTTACATGTTTGGTTTCTCATTACAATTAATGAAAAATGGCAAAGTTTTATCAAAATCAGCTCATTAAATTTTAAGAACAAATGCATCTCTGTAAGCCACATAGAAGAGGCTTCACTAATGTTCCATCTCAACAATTTTACACAATAACACAAAATTAAGATAATAAGTTGATTTTTACCCTTCTGAGCTCATGGACTCCTGAAAACTTTCTATGGACCCCTGGTTAAGAACTGCTACTTCAGTCAATAGGTGAAATTTGCTTATTCCTAGCAGACAGACTTTGATTAATTTTTTATGATTTTATAAACATTGTATTGATAACATTATGAATTAATAAATGAATGAATTATTGAATTACTCATCAAATAGAATATTGGTAATTTTATATTTTTAGGTGTGTATTATCAGATGATGATGCTTTCAATTTAGATGATATTCTGGATAAAAGAGACAGAGTAAGTTAACTTTAATAAAATTTATATATATTTATAATATTAATTAATATTAATGTTTATAGTATGATTATCAGTTTTTTTAAAAAAGTTTTTTAAAAAGTATTTGTACATAAGTTTCTTGTTTTTATATTATTACTTTATGAATAGAAATTAATGAAGATGATATACTAGTCACTAGGATAACTTACTGGATAACTGGGGTAACAGTTAAATATGTCTAAGTGCAAGTTTACTTTCTTCTCCATGTTTGCATACTCTTAAGACTTGACAACCTATCTTTGAATCCATCACTAAAAATAATAATAAATGCATAGTCTTCCAATCACCTCCTACAGAATGATAAAGACTCAGTGGATGACAAATGGAGCAACAGAATGTAAATCATCCTGAACATAAACAAGGAGACTGGTATCTGCACAGTATATGCTGGTTACACCTCAATCAGAGGCTCACTGGACACAAAAGTGACATTAAAAGGGAGCTAGCTTGTGCTGGAAAGTTGTGCAACTTTCCAGCACAGATACATTGGCAGGCAATCAAAATCAACCAAACTGTCCCTTACCTCTTTCATGCCAGCATTGTGGAGAAGTGAAAAATTTATAACCAATCTATTACCAATGTGTGCATAAACAGCAGGGATAAGAACTACCTTTTCTCTGCCTGGCAATGTATTCTCACTGTATCACATCAACTGCCACAGTTGTAAGCAGTCTTCCCTGCTTGTTTACTTTATCCAAATCTAGCCTTTTATCCTTCCATCCAATACAAGTGTTTCATTTTTGACTTTTGACACCTGAGGGTGATCAGAGAACCAAAAATGTTAGTGTTCTTCTAAAATTTCAGAATAGTAATTAAGTTTGAAAGTGCATTAAATGAATGATATGATTATTATAAATTAAAATTTGTTAAAACTACTGTTTAAATGACTATTATTATTCCATATAAAAAAGAAACTCTTGAAATATGTTTTTAAAACATTATATTTATTATTATTATAATATAATTTAAAAATAAATTTGTTATATTCAATGCCAGCCCGAGCAAACTCAGCGCCCTAGGCAAATGACTTTGACGTCACCCCAAGAGTGTCTAATTTTTATTCAATATGCAGCACGCAATATCGCGATCGTGAGACTACGGTACTACTTTCAAAATGGTGACTCACGGGTCAACACATGAGAAGGGATTGTGATTAAAAAACATTTATTTTTTCATTATTTATTGTAATTTATGCTTGTACTTTTGCCATGTTGCCTCCCCGAATTCAAGCGCCCTAGGCCATTGCCTAGTTTGCCTATATGGCCCTGGTTATATTTGTAATAATGGACTTACAAAGCAAAAGTCAGATGCTATGCCAAATCATCAGGTTACATAAGACTAAGTTAATAATTAGATAAAAAGTTTAATTTAGCCTTATTATACTTTAATAATTTAGCAGATTGTCTGGCTTTAATCAAAAATTGTGTTTGTGAAATTTTGTTTACACACAGAGCTAAATAATGTAAAGCTATTTTTTTTATTACAAATATAATATTTTATATTGGATTTTGTTCTGTCATGAAAAATATATTAACTATTACAAGTGTTTCATTTTTACAATATAATTTAATTTATACAATATGAATAGTGATTCTTTTGGGGAAAGATACAAATTTGAAAGATTAATAGAACTTAACTTTTTACTCTTATTCTGAATATTTGACTTATTGCCAAGCCTGTTTGGGTAGATTAAGTAGCAGTTATTTTTTGATCCATAAAAAAGTTTGGAAATTGTTTTCTTTTTGAATTGTAGAAAATGGAAAATGATCAAGATTGATAGTTATTTTATGATAAAACTTTATAAAACTTATTGTACTTTAATATTTATTTAAAGTACAGATAAATGTAAAAGATAAGAATGAAAATTATATAAATAGGAATTTAATGGTTAATTAACAATCAAATTATGCATATTTTTAATGTAAAAATTTGCTTTAAATTCTCTTGACTCTTAAACAGCAAGTAATTTTGAAATTTTGAGTTTTATATGATTGTTCTTTTATACAGGGAAATCCCAGTTATAGTGGTTAATGTTGCCAGGAAAGACAGTACAATAATCAAGAAGAATTGACATATGGGAGATAGGAAATTGTTGTTAAGAATTTTCTAAAATTATGATTCAAACTTTATATATTAAAAATTAAACTAGATATTTATTTACATTTGTACTTTAAAGGAAAGAGACAATAAATTAAATGGTACTTTGCTTTAAAATGTTGTTATTAAACAAAAAAATGGGTTATGTTTTGGAAAAATATAGAAGAATTTTTGTTTCAAGAATTTCTTCTTTTGGGTACATAATTCAATGACAACAAATGATGATTTATATTTCTTGGTGCACTTTAATTAAATGTTCAACATTATGTTTTGCTGAAGAGATTCACAGATATTGTAATCTTGATCAGGTAATTTTGATCTAAGTAATTCAAAACATACTAAGTTTGTTCAGAGCATTTTGAAAGAATTTATGAAGAAATGTTACAGGAAGAAATAGCAACAAATAATTGAATTCAGGAACTTGCAACAAACTTGAATATATTGCACATAAGCATTGTTCAAAGATGAGGAAGCATTGTTGAAATGCTTCCTCATCTTTGAATGGTTGCAAAAGAAAAATAATGTGATTCTGCATGCATTAAATGAAAAAAAAACAAATTTGATTGAATGTCAAAAAGCATTGCATTGTGAAATTGTTAAAAAACAAAAATGTTTCATATTTTGATACAAAAAAGAGTACAATGAAAACTTTTATTTTGCACAAAAAACAAAAAGTTTTGGTGCAATAATTGAGATTTTATTATCAAATCAATTTTCTTGTATATATGTTGCTCTTATATTTGAATGTCTTTTATATAATTTTAAATTTAAAACTTTTCAGTTTATAAATATATATATATATATATCTTTTTCTACAGACTTCTGAATATAGAAAATACAGTTTTTATCCTGGCCAGCAATTATGGGGTCCTGTTCATTGCTTTGATAAATGTAAATGGTTAACTCTGAATAAAGAAATGAGTGCTCTGTTGTCAAAACCAACAAAAAACATAAGAGTTACTGTTGAAGAAGTAAGTAATAAGCATATACTGTATTGTAGTCGTATATTTTGTAATCTTATTTGAAAATCACTACTAATTACCCTATTTATATATATATAAAAAAAAAACTATGATATGTAATTTATTAGATAAATGACTTTGTTTACTAAAATTTGTAATATGGTAATATCCTATTGAAAATCAGTCTTGTTTTACATAGGATTGATATATGCAAAAAGTGTAGAGGTAAAATTTACTTGATTACATAATCACATTATAATGAATTATTATGAACTTTGCAAAATGCTCATAATAAACAGAAACAGACAAAATGACATTTCTTTTTCAAAATATAAAGAATATTTATATGATTAATCTTATATATTGTACTTTTAATACATAATATGGTAATATGATTTGTATTTTTATATACATATATAATTACATATAAAACTGAAAAAAGTGTATTTTCTTAATTATCCCTTGATATATTTGCTAATTGACTATTTCTTTAATTTGTCACATTTTTAGTTTTGACCATTGATGGATTTATAGGGATTGTACTGTATAGTAGAAATTGTGATGTACTATGCATTCTTTCGTAGTATTTTATAGAGGGCATTTACAGAAGCTAAGATTATCCAGATTTCCCATTTTTTATTTTTCTGAATTATTTATATAATTGATATTTTTTTTTTATTGGATTTAAGCTTGATATCTTGACAAAATATTTTTGCTATTTAGTATTAACTTTTTGCTGCTATATTATTTATTTTATTGTTTTCAGCATTGCTTGTTTGATTTCTTTTATTTTATCAAGCAAGTTAACATAAATGTTAACTTGCTCATTTAACTGAATAAAAATAGTTTATTTTAACGTATATAGTGTTTACATTTTTCTATATATTGTATATAAAGAGTAGTGTATAAAAATTTAATATTATCTAAATTATGTTCTCTATAAAAAATATGTTTGAACTAAAGTGAAGATTTGTATAGTTATTGAGTTTTCTTGTTATTTTTTTTGTTGCATATCATAAATATAAAAATCAGAAGGAAAAAATTCATTTCTTACATATGTTTTTTCTTATGAGTTTATTATTATACAGTGGTACCTCAGGATACGAAATTAATCCGTTCCGAAACTGAGATCGTATCATGAAAATGTCGTAAGGTGGATCATCTTTTCCCATACGATTACATGTAAAACCAAATAATTCGTTCCAACGCGAAAAACATACTCAAATTAAAGCCAAGTAATACATTAAAAAAAATAACTGTAGTAAGAAAAACAAATGAAAAATGCGAACTAATGTAACGTCGTATGGTGAGTTTTTGTTCGTATCGTGGAGCAAAAATATGTTCGAATTTCACGTCGTATCCTGAAAATTTCGTATGCTGGGGCGTTCGTATCCTGAGGTACCACTGTAATTATTATTATTATTATTTATATAATAAAAATTAAATTTTAATTTTTAATATTATGATCAAACTAAAAATAAAAATTTTTTTTAGGTTAAAGTTATTTCTATAGGTGTCCAATGGTTATGTCGTGCTTACTGTGAAGGAAATACAATATCTACAGAAATTGAACAACCAAAATTCCTTATTCAAGGAGAAGATTTATTAAGGTGAATTAACCTTGTCTATTTAAAAAAAAAGAATTATTTCCTAAATGGACAATTATTTTTTACCAATAATCATTATTTAAGAATCAAATTACATGAAAACTTATTGAATAAAAATTTTGCATTACATTCTGATATTTCAAATATAATATAACTCTGATTATCTGAGTTAATGTGGACTGATGATAACTTGGATAACTGAAAACTCAAATAATACAAATGACCAGAATCATTTCAGATTAAAAATTATGAATATAAAACATTTATTTGGTATACTACCTTTAAGCTCTTTTTATACTTACTTTAATCATATATAAAAACAATAATTTTTACAATGTTTATTATATCATTAATATGTACAGTACAATAATTTAAGAATAAAAATGTGTATTATTATAGTAACATTTTAATATGAATGATTTATCTCACATCGAAGTTAAATGATAAAAAGGTAACAGAAACGAATCATTTTGTAGTAATGTACATGTTATTGTCTTTAAATTTCTTTTATGAATTACAGTATAGGAAATTAGTACATTCATTTACAGGTTTGCTTTGGATAATCTGGGTTCTACTGTGTAAAAAAACTTGAAAATTATTTGTTTGTAAAAAATTTTTTAAATTATTCTTTAAACCAAGGGGAAAAAAAGTAAAATCTTATTTGTACCAAATGTAGTAAATCCTAAAATAATTTATAGAATAATCATCAGTTATTTTATTTTAAGGTACATAGTGTTTACATTTTTCTATATATTGTATATAAAGAGTAGTGTATAAAAATTTAATATTATCTAAATTACATTCTCTATAAAAATATGAACATCAGTTATTTTTCTTTTTCTAATTTTAAATGAAAATATAATGTGTATACATATTAATTTTATTTGCCATAATAAATCTATACATATATTTTTGAACATGTGTTTGTTTATTTGATACAGAAATTAAGGGAGAATTATTGTATATGTTGACAAATAAGCCAACTTTTTCAGCCTTAAAACAACTCTTAAAAGTTGAAATTGACATAAAGCAGATATAAAATGTACACCTTTATCATAGAATGCAAACAAATAGGACAGTATTCTTAGCAATCAGTATGTACTACTTACCATTTTCCAAACAACCTTCAGTAAGCTATAGGTAACCTCAATGTGACCCAACTCTTGAATAAAATTGTTATTTAATTAAACATTATTTATTTATTTATTTATTTGCTGCTTAGCTACAACAAAAATGTATTTATTTATACATTTTGTACATTTATTTATTTATAAATTATATAAATAAATTTATCTATAAATTTTCTATATAAATACATGCATTTTTGCATGTATTTATGTAGAAAGTTTTATTGGTAAATGATTTCTTTTAAACAACTCTTTTTTTCCCTAATAAATAAGTGTGTATTCTAATTTCACTTTTTAAAACCAGAATACAGTAAAAAAAAATTGGTGCTACATGCAAAAGGCACAAGATGGTTTAAATACACTTGAAACTTAAAACAAAGAAGGAAGGTGGGAAAAAGGAGAAAAAGGGGGTGGGAGGAAGATGGTTGGCTGAGGTGGGGAGAGTGATGGGAGGGGAAGAGGAAGGGAAGTGGGGTTCTTCTGATTGCCTGCATTGCAAATTTTATAAACAACCAAGTATTTACAATATGTATAATAGTAACAGAGTGTTTTTTTGGCAAGGATTTGGCTAAATAGTAGAGGTTCCAAGAGGACTAACAATACAAGTAATATGCAACGTAGATGTTAAAATAACAGAGTGCCTTTGGGCACTAGCCGACAAGATACATTACAAGATACAAGATAAGAATAATGAAATATAAAAGTTACAGTATAAATGCCAAATAAAGATACCCATACCATATTACAATTGTCACAATACAACAATAAAATAAAAGTATAAAAAATGATATAGTTCAGTTAAGAGAATACAAGTAAAAATGCAAAAAAGTCTAATACAGTGAGCAGTTAGCAGGAAGATCAAAGTACAATAAGATGCCTGTAAGTCCAGGCAAGAAGCACTACATTAAGTTGTAATGGGGGACAAGCTGGTTGGGTTCATTGTGAAGAATTTACTGTTCCTGATGAAGGCCATAAGATCCTCGAGATTCGATTTGCTTTTGCAAAAGAAATCCGTGTTTGGGGATCAATTTAGGCCATTTTGAAGACAGTTACGGATGAGCAGTTCCTTAGGCATGTCATGTGACATGTGAAGGGCAGTCCAAGATGACATGGTAGACATTGCCGATGGTGGTGATGTTGCATTCACAGGTGTTGGAGTTCCTGATGCAGAACCTGCAGAGGTAACTCAGAAGGTGGCCAGAGAAGCATTGAGAGAGCTCATAGCTGGGATTAATGTGATTGTAGTACTGCCTGAGATGAATAGATGGTAGAAAGCTGAAGGTAATCTTTACAGTGTTTGAAGTTTCTCACTCCTCTTGCCAGCAGTCCAGGGTTTTGCTGTTGATGTAGTTGATTATGAAGGAAATAGGGAGAGGTTGCCAGGGAGGAGGCTTTCTTGGCTAGCCTGTCGGTTTCCTTGTTCCCAACAACTCCCTTGTGACCAGGGACTTAGTTGAAGCAGATATTTTTATGCTTGTATAGATTTCTAGCAAGGAATTTGATACCAATTCTGGTACTCTCCTTTTCCTTCTAGGGTACTCAGTACATACCCTGCTATCAGTGTTGAAGCTTATGCTTTCCTGGAGGTGTCTCTGTTTATTGGTAATAGTAGTAAGTGCTCTGTACATGGCCCAGAGCTCTGCTTGGTTGTTGGAGCAATGGTCATGGAACTTAAAATACTGCTGGTGGGTAATTTGGCTACAGACACCACTGTAGATGATCATTGCTGCCTCCATACTAGTCTCACTCTTGGATTCATCTGTAAAAACTTGCCAGTTGGCCTTTTCCTCTTCTTTATTGTTAATGTTAATTTTTATCTTGCTTAACTCAGCTGGATGGGTCATGGTTTCAATTCCAGTAGGGTAATTGTCCAATTTGCATTGTTTTATGTCATGAATGAGGTTCTGGCAATCCAGGGATAGTCGCCTTGTTTTATAAATTGACACACATCCTCCTCAGTGATGATGATGTAGTTCATGTTTATGATTTTCCACCTCCAAATAATAATCTCGATTTTTAAATTGATTGGTGTAATATTTGCAATTACAAGGAGGGTGTCAGTTGGGGCAGTTTGGTATGCTTTGCATATCAAAATGGCCATGCCCCTCTGAACCAACAGAATTTTCCTCTTAGTGTGAATGAGGCCAGTCCTCTCGCCCCATATCTGAGCAGCATAGAGTAAAGCAGGCTCAATTGCTCTCTTATAAATGATCCTTGTGTTCCTGCTGCTAAAGCCCCAGGTGTTTTGGACTATATCGTGCATTATGCTAATTCTTTGCTTCATTTTTTTGCACATCTCTTCTATGTGGAATTTTCAACTTAGTGTTGGATCAATGAAAATGGTGAGGTACTTGAGATGAGAAGTTATTTTGATTTTATGATTATTGATGTAAAGGCCAAGTGGGCACTGCAGTTGCTTCCTATTAACAATTGTTCCAAAGTTTTTTCCACTAATTGTAGCAGTACCTGAAGTTGTTTTCTATAAGAATGTTTTGTTCATCAGTTACAACTTTTTGATGTTTTCCACTGTCCTGAAATGATGAACTTTTAACTTTGATTTTATTTTAGGGAATAGATAGAAGTCACAAGGAGCTAAGTCCAGGCTGTAGAGAGGTTGTGGGAGTGTGGGGATTTTTTCTTGGCCAAAAACTCTCAAATTTATAGCACTGTGTAAGCAGGCACATTATCGTGGTGCAGCACCCAATCTTCTGCAATATTCCTGCAGACTTGCTTGACCTGTTTTTGAAGTCATTCCAAGACATCTTTGTAGAAGGCCTGATTAACTGTCTGTCCTAAAGGTAAAAATTTTCTGTGCACAATTCCACGGCTATAAAAAAACGATAAGAATTGTTTTTACGCTGGATATTTGTGCCATCTAAACACCATGTTTCTCAATAAAGTGGCATCTCCATAAGCTTTGGTTATATCTGCAAATGTCTCAGTTGCAGATTTCTTGAGTTTCACATAAAACTTGCTAGTGTAACATTGTTCAAGATTTTTTTCCATTTCAAACGTAACAATGTGTTAAAACACTATCGTACACAGAAATTGTGCACGCTTGACTTAACTGATCAACTTGAAATAGGTCTAGACATGCTGCTAAGATATCTAGCAACGAGAAAATAGTAATTTAAGCTGTACAATCATTAAATAAAAAATCAGTACACTTACTTTTGGGACAGACCATGTATATTGATGTAAATACTGTCAGTCAAAATTTAATTTTAATTTTTACATTTTTTTACAATTTTAGATTTAATAAGTAAGTCTTATTACATATAAGACTTACACTCTTACAATGCAAATAGAATAATATTTTAAAATCACTCAAAATCAGACCTTATAAATTGTAATCACTTTGTGTATTTTTTATATTTTGTTTAATGTTTATACAATTATTACATACATTACTTCTTTTACTGATAGTGCAGATTAATTTTAAAAACTAATATTGATTGTTTATGTGAATAATTATAAAATGCAACAGGGAAGAGAGCATTGCAAAATGCCAGGGGATCAAACTAAGTCCCAAATATGATATATGGCAATATCAATTGTCATTTGTAAATTTTAACATAGCTGTATTAATTGTGCAGTATTACGAATTTTAGAGAAAAGTCTGTAATATTCTTAATAATCTAACATTGAATAAAATTTTTTTGAAATATATTAACACTATGAATCTATCACAATTACCACTTACACTCTCAGTTTGAGGGCAGATGTTAATGAACTGATTAAAAAAAAATAACAACAACGTACAAAAAATGTTAAATAATTTTAATTTAAATGGTGTTATTTATAATTTTTTTATTTTAATAATTCTGATTGTGTAACAAAATTTCAGATTTTTTCCCCAGTTTATTATATTAATATTTTATGAAGTTCAGGAAATTATTAAGAGAAATTTAATAAATATATACTTTTGTACATGGATTTTACAGGTTTTGTTAATGAATGAAAAATAATGGCTTTTTTATTTTTTTTTCAAAGCCACATAGATTTATGGTTGTGGATTAATAACTGGATAAAGTATTTTAATTTAATAAAACATTTTATTTTTAATTTTAATTATTCAGCAATTATAAAAATTATGTAACTGTTAATTAGAAAAAATAACTAATTAAAAAGTCTAAGAAGCAATAACATATTTGTTTAGTAAATTGTATGTTGTTTTATTTTGTCAATGTGCTGAACTATAATGGACATGAGGATCAGGAAATTTGTACAAAGCTGGTCAGGGGAAGTCAGGGAATTTAAAACAAAAATTTGAGTTGAAATCCTGTATATAAACAAATATACAGTATATGTAGACAGTTATGTAATTTTAATAAATATTACATATATAAAATGTTTAATGGAAAGTATTTATTTATTTAAAAATGAAAATTATGTAATTATTTAGTGATTATTTAAAGCATAAATTTATTAAAATTTTGTTTTTAATTTTTAGAGTGAAAATGATGCATGTATTTGAACCTTGTGCTCTTCAAATAGGTGATAGAAACTTTTATGTTATTAAGGAAAGTGAGAAAATTATAACATTAGAAGAATGGAAACAGACACTTACAAAATCATTGTGTCCAGATAAAGTTTTGATTAATTCTTCTGCAAAAGAACCTGAAGATGCAGATACAGATATTGTTGAAGAAACTTCATCAGATGTCTTAAATATAGAACAACAAAATAACATCAATCAAAATGAATCTGATTTTGAAAGTGTTGATGAAGATGAGGAAGGAAATACATCAGATTCTGCTTCTCAAAGCAGCTATTCAACGTCATCATCTGTAGATATTGGAAAAAAAGGTATATAATATTTGATATAGATATTGACTAGCAATTTTTTGGAAAATTATTTTATTAAGTTGTTTAAATTTACCAAGTTAAAAATTTTAACTTGTTGGATCTGTTCATTTGGTTGGGATAATACACATTTCTGTGTTAATTTGACATAATCTCATCAGTTTTAGAGTAAGAATGATGTCAAATTTATATTAAAATATGCATTATCTTATCCAATTGAACATACTTAACATGTAACAGCATATAATGTTATTGTTTATCTGGAGCTTTGTGTGACCTGAACCTTTTTGCAATATGAACTATGTATATAACAATAATCAAATTCTGATTAGAATAAGTGAAGTTTTATAGTGTATTTTAACTTATATAATGTATGGGACTATTTGATATAATGGGAAATTTTGATAATATTAACTGATTGATACCATTATTTCTGTTAATAATTAGAAATTAAATTTAATACAAGATAATGACTTAATCATCTATCTTTAGTTCAAATTAAATAATATTTACATATTTAATTAGCCAAAATGTAGCTTGATAATAAATTTGGCATGATTATTTAGTTGATAATATGATTCAGGCTTAGTTTCTTATAAAATTTTTAAAATTCTAAATAAAGAACTAAAATTATTGAAATGATAAAAACTATTTTTTAATAGATTATACTGGTATATGAATGTTAAGGATTTAATACTCTAATTTTCTAGGAAGTAAGTCTAAGTCAAGAAAAGGTCCATCACTTGCTACAAAAATGCTGAAGAAAAAGAAATTAAAGAGAGCTCGAAAAAAGTTGCTTCAAGATCTTTTGCCTCTTAAAACTGGTGATCGTGTAGTAACTGAAACTTTAGTGACTAAAACTAATGCTGATGTTGTATGGCAGGTATGTTATATACATTTCTAAAAATAGATAATATAGATAGTGCTACTGCATAAGAAAGAGTTCTAAAAATAAATGTTTTCTATATCCATCTGATTTATGAGTAAAGATCTGGAAAAAACAGTTTAACTAATAATAATTCGATATCTTGTCTTTTTTAATGAATTTTTTTTAGTTTTTGAAGCATTTTTTGATATTCACAATTATATTTTGCTCTTCTTATTCTACAGGTTAATTTGATGTATAGTTAGTTTGACCTTTAAATGTTTTTACGTCAAATTTGTTAATACATTTATATAGAAATAACATCATATTATTTCAATGTTCCTCATTTGTTTCCAATTGTTCTTAATTAAAATTTAAGAAAAATAATAAATTTAATTAATAAATTAGCAAAGTTATTATTTTTTAAAGGAAATAATGTTATACAAATGAATGTTATTTGAATTTATATTATTAGAAGGTCAGAAAAATGTTACCAAAAAGGTGAAAACATTAGTAATAGTAAATAATATTTACTTAAATTCTTTAACCCTTTCTTTACCACCGGCGTAAAAATACGCCGGAGCGTACACCGTAATTTTTAATGCTAATGTTTAATTAAACATAAAAAATACTTTAAACTGAAAAAAAACGAAAAAAATGCGTTAATTTTGAAGAAAAAGCTTCAAACTTTATTTTCCATTGTTTGGCCTTTCTGTGAAATTTAACATTGATGAGTTATTGTTTACACAGCTGGGTGACCTTGAACACAGCTGGAGTCAGATTTCCCGGGGCATTCTCATAAACGTCTCGGGAGGACAAAGGTTTAAAGTAGGGTCAAGGTGAATTAATCGTATATTTTTAAATGTTTTTAAAAAATTAAAATTTTAATTGCGATTTCCGACCCCCCCTAATTAATTAACTTAATATAAAATAAAATATATTAATTAAAAAAATTAAAAAATATCGGAGGTCGTTTTTGACATCAAAAAGCAGCTTTTAATAACTTTACCGAAAAAAAATCCGTGCGCTACAACTTAGGAACCATGAAATAAATTTGATAAAAACTCCCATTGAAAAACAATTGAGCCATAATCAAGCCTTAACAAAGGCTCATTAAAATCGCGATAAAATTTTTTTGCGCGGACAAAAAATTCTGAAAAAATTTGGGGACCTAAAAAACATTTTAAAAATTCAAAAAAAAAAAAATTTGGGAAAGGGCCAAAAGTACCGAGTTTTATGAAACTCTATGGAACTTGCCCGAGGTTTTTCGGGATGTTGATTTTAAAGGGTTAAATAGTAAATGATATTTATTTAAATTCTTTGTGTATATCTATTTTTAGCATATAAATTTTCATATATAATTATGAATAAATAGTGAAAATTAATTAAAACATAAATGTTAAAATCACAAATAATTTAATCAATTTATTTTTGATTTTTTTTAATTATAAAAATATTTATAATTTTACAGTACATTGTGTAGTTTTAATATGAAATATTTTCTATCAGGATGGTTCTATTGAAGAAGAAATTCCATCAGCTGCTTTATATCCAGTTCACCATTTAGATGGGCATGAATTTTTTCCTGGTGATTTTGTTATCGAAAACAAAGGTATGCTATTAGTTAAAATAAAATTTAATTAAAATATAAATAGAAATACAGTCAAATCTTGACATAGCTCCATCACTGTTGTAAAGCACTAATAATAGTCAAATCTGATAAACTGCCCCCTGATAACATGCTACTCTTGCTGATTGCCAAAAGTAACAGAATGTGAATAAAATGTAATATTTTTTTCTAATTTTGAAAATTATTACTTAAAAAACAATAAAATAAATTTTCACTGCTTGTACAATATTAACATGAATATTAAGATTCAAATGAAATTTATGATTGTTAATTATAGTATACTGTAAATGAATTATAGAATAATTATTTAATTATAGATAGTCCTAGACCACATGAATATGGTGTTGTTAAGAAAGTTGATCATACTGGTCGTACTGCATTAGTTACTTGGATGAAAACATACTTAGCAGGTTCTGAGCCAGTGTAAGTAAATAAAGATTAAGTGAATGTAATTTACAGATTTTATTAATTTAAGCCTTGTGTTATAAATTATATAATTTGAATATCAAATATAATTTATATTCTTTGTGTATATCTATTTTAATAATAATAATAATAATAAAAAATAGTCAAACCTTGAGTTTCAAAGGCCTCATTTTTCGAACAATTTGGTTTACAAAAAAAAAATTTTGAATGCCATATTTGCTCTGGTTTCATACACTTGGTTGCCAAATCAACTACTCAGCAAGAGCAAACTAACAGTCACAGATTAGAGAGAGACAAACTGTCAACTCCATGTACTTCCAGTGTTAAGGAAAGTTGATGGCCTGACCAATCAACAACAGGACTACTGATTCAGAAGTTAGTGGTGTCCAGATCACCTTGTATCATTAGATGTCAGGATACAAATCATTGATGATGATGCTACTCTCATTAAATTTCAATGTGTATGTGGGTAAGATACTACTACCATTTTTCAGTATGCATCAAAATTGAATTTAGATCAAATTAATTAATAACATCACATTACAGACATTCCTCTACTTTTGTACCTAATTAGTTCCTGAAATGTGTATGAAAGTTGAAACGTACAAAAGTAGAACAGTGTAAAAAAAAATCAAAAAGTGTTTTCAAAATATTTATTTTTTATTGATTAGTATCTGGTATTTTCTTTATAAATTTGTCAAGAGATAATTGAATTGTACGCTTCTTTTTCTTTTCTTGATAAGAGTTCTGTAACATACTGTGTTTTTTTCTATTGTCCTTTGTACATGAAAGTATGTGCATTTTGTCTTATATATTGATAAAACGAGAAAGAACAAAATGTGTATGAAATAGTAAATTGTATAAAAGTAGAGGATCACCTTAATTAATAAAAATATGTTCTAGCTCAATTACCGGTATTAATAACAACCATTAACGAATCTTTAAGTTTGGTTAGCAAACATTTAATAAAACATCCAATGAATGCTTTCAACCTTACCCAAGGTTTGCTTCAGGTTAGAGAACTAATCAAATTCCAAAATCTGAATGTTTGAAACACAACACTTTTAAAACATTAATTTTAACCATTTGGAACTTATAAAACAAACAGAAACTTAACAGTAGCAAATATATGAATTCAACATATACATATAAGGCAACCCATATGTAGCTATTATTTGAGGATCCAGCATAACAGCAAATAATATAAATTCATTTTGGGTTAGTGATGCCAGGTTCCACCTGTAATTAATATTTGCATAATATAAATAACATCTATGAATTTGTGTTTAAAGGTGCTTAACTCAAATTAAATAACAAAAATTTATTAATGTAATAATAATATTTAAATCATTCCCAGAATGATTATCTTGTGGAAAAAAATCAATCTGTCTGTTTGGATAACCTTTGTATAGTATCTATCTGCTTGTACTGTTCTCAAATTTATAAACTTAAGGAATAATTTTTAAAATAATAATTGAAAAATTTAGTTGATGACAACATGCTTAGATTATTTTTGTTCTTTTGTTTAAAATTGATTCATGATTATTGAATTTTATTTGGTATTTTCTTTAGACCTGAAGTACTTAATAACCAAGAAGTTAGTGTATATGATATCAAAGATCATCCTGATTTTCGGTACAGGCCTGGTTCTTGTGTAATACGGGTAGCCAACTTTCAGGTTGGAGTACATTCTGTAATTATATTTTTATTTAAATAATTATAATTACTTATTATACAATTTTTACTTTAATTCTTTAATTAAAATTAATTGATAAATTGTTTAAAATTATTTAACATTTTTATTTTGCTCTAGTATTATTTACTTATAATTTAGATATTATTACATAGAACTAATAAATGACACTGTTGGATATTAATTAGCTGAAATATAGCTAATTAATTATAAAGATATTTTGTAACATGGATTAAAAGTAGACAATTAAGCTGCCATTTTGTGTTGAATTTAAATAGTTAGAAGTAAATAAATTCAGAATATTTTGGAAGAGATTGATCCAGAGTGATATTTGGATGCTTAATTTCTGTTTACCATGTACTGTACTATCATTTATACTGTCCAGACTTCTGTCCAATCACTACTTCCAGACTAGTTTAAAACATAGCCATACAGGACAACTTACTACATCAAATTATGGGGAGAATTATACATCCACTGCCTTTTATCACACTTAGCCAAGTTGCACTTATGTTTTCTAAATTGGCCTGGAAGCAAAATATTGAATGGAAGTCTGGCCAGCATAATTGGCAGTGCATCTTCACAGTAAGCAGGAGTTGAGTTCAGAGGTAAGTGTCTTATTTTGAATTAATTTTTTTCTCTAGAAATAAAAATAATTAGAAATAAGTAAATAATTATTAATAATAATTTTAATAATTAGAAATAAGTAAATAATTTAAATTTAACATAAGATGGTGACTTATCACCTACATTTAATCCAAATTACATAATATATTTATAATTAATTAACCAAATTATAGCCTGATTTAAAACCCAGTGTTATTTGTTTATTACTATATATTGGGCATAGTTAATATGCAATTACAAGGACTGTTTAGAAATTAACCTCTGATATGTTATGAAAAAAACAAGAATAAAGAAAAACTATATTTATTATACACAAAAAATACATACATATTGTTGAGGAGAGATTGTGGAAGACACAATTGGTTGAATTTGAAACTGATTTGTAATGCATGTACCTCAGAGACAAGACAGTTGAAGAAAACATCAGGCCACTGAGGCGGACCTGGGATAGAGCTGAGACTAGCAAGCGGCTGATTGGTCAGCCATCGGCTAGATCAGTGTTTCTCAATGGGGGCGATATCACCCCCATATGGGCATTTTTCCATGTTCAGGGGGCGATTAGTAACAATTTATATTTTGGGGTTGAAAAACAATTTTCTGGGCAATATAGTGAAACATTATATTAAGAATAATTATATATTGTATTCGTTATATCATACAATAATTAAACAAATAACATTATACTAGTCATTAGTCTATTCAATGCAGTACGAATTTGGCATTAGCCTTGGCCCTCGGCATCGGAATTTTGAAGTGAAGGGAGCGATACTATGTTGAAGGGGGTGACGATTCGTTAGATGCTGAGTAACACTGGGCTAGACAATGACTATATAAAGTTGATGTGGAAGCAGGAGTTTCAAGTTTGGATCTGTCTTGCTGTCCAAATTCTACGATAGACAAAGAAAGTGTTACTGCTAGCTAACTGCTTGTCTGTCATAAGGTGCCTTCTTGATGAACAAGTTTGGGAGATATGAACTATTTGAACTTTACCTTGTGTTGTTGGCATACTGGAATGGACACCAATTGTGAACAGTTTTATTTTTAACTTTACTGGTGCAGTCGACAGGATTGGCTTTTGCACAATATCAGAGGATGACTCCGGAAGCAGAAAAGACTTATCAAGAAGACTGAACTATGGTGCAAGTGAACCCAAGATCTGGGAACTGTCAACTGTGAACTGAGTCATTGGGAAAATTTTGATGAGCCAATGCAGAGAAGACGATGGACACTGTCCAGATGGCCTGGAGAAGGGGAAGTACCTTCTTGGGGTTGTGCAGAAAGACAAGGTTTCAGTAGAACGACAGGGGTAGATTGTATGAAGCACAGTTGCAAAGAAAGACGGCAAGGCAAATAACAGGGACAAGCTAGCACAACTTGTTACTGCGGGAAGACTGAGGCTCGAGTTAGAGCACGGAAAGCCTCATAATAAGACATGGAACTCTGCAAACCGAATCACTGGAAAAAAATTGGAAGACCAGGTGCAAGGGATACAAAGGACACTGCCCAGATGGCCAGAAAAGAGGAAAGCACCTTCTTGGGGCTATGTGGAGACCCAAGAGGTCTTGGAGCAGCAATGAGGGCAGTTGGTACTGAGGTAGTGAGGGAATTTGGCAGGATTTGTAATGAGGCCAGACAGCTAAGACTCATTGCTAGAGGAAAGCCAAAGCTAAAGACAGAGTGAGGGGAAGTGCGTAGTAAGATGCAGAACTCTGAGAATTGGAACATCAAGAGAAAGGTTGACAATCGTGTGCAGGGAGTTCAAGGGAGTCTGCCCAGATTGTGGAGAGGAGGAAAAACACCTTAGTCTCGCATGAATGAATCAGTTCTAGAAACCCATGAGGAACCAGAGGAGCCACTAGAGAAGAGCATATTAAGTACAGTAGCAGAGATGTTTAATGAGGTGAGTAATGGGGCTAGTCAGGAGCCACTCATTACTGCAGGAAAGGGAATAGAAGCAGGAGACCAGCAGGCCAACGAGGGTGAAGGTAGATGACCAACCTTCAGCACAAGAGCTCAGAAAGATAATGGGGATGACTAGGTTAGTTGAGCACATCAAGGCAATCAGTAAGATTGCAGCAAAACAGGCAGGCATGGAACAAGAGCAGTATACTGCCTACTATGGCTTAAAGGATCAGCCCAAGGAGTGTAGGGTAGAAAATACCATCCTGATTAGGAAGGCACATCCTGATAACAAATCAGATGATCATCAAAGGAGCACGAAGGCAATTATGAGGTGAGTTAGAAGACAGAGGGAAGAAGTTGGTCCATGTAGATAAGCTTCAGAAGTACTGTAATCAAGCCTGAGGCAACGGACTCAAGTCGACTCAGGTATGAGCGTTAGGGAGATAATAGAGGTTTCTTCGATGCAGCAGTTGGACGACTGAAGGTGGGAAAACATGAGAGTTAGTGAAGTCCCACTACATCACCCACACACAGCACAGGACAACCTTCACAATACTTCTAAGGAATATCGTCCAGGGATTCAGTTAATTGGGTCCTTCAGACAATGGGTGGACACGTCCTTGGTAACCGTCCCACTAGTTCAAAGGGAGGAAGGCAGCGGGGAGTCCCACAGAGCTCAGATAGCGGCTCACATGATTACTAAAGAGCCCAAAAAGGCTAGGGAGACGGCTGAATTAGTGGGAGGAGAGAACTGACTCGTTGCCATAGTTGATGTGGGAACAGAGATGTTTGTGTTGGGATAATTGGAAAACTCTTTGTCATGAAGAGAGACAGAAGGGCGAATACAGTTGACTGAGGTATTCGGACAAGGATTAGGCACAGCCTTGGTAGTAATCCCTGAAATTCAATAGGAGGGAGGCAGCGAGGAATCAAGGGGACCACAGATTGTGACATGTGTGGTCACTTTTAAGTTAAAACAGGTGGCTGACACGCTATTTTCATTGGGAGGGCTTGAAGCCCAGCTAGAACGAGCTACAGGGACATAGGCGAGAAGGATATTACAGGCCTAGAAACTGATGGTTATGGGTCATGGTTGGACTTGCAGTAGGAAACCGGAATCTCTATGAGAAAGTAGGGATGGTCAATGACTATCAAAAGGGAAGAAGGAAGTGCTGATGGCACCACGGGTGCTGTTCTTGGGAGAGGGTCAGTAAAGCCCGGTCTCACGGAACGAGAGGGCAGGATGTGAGCATGATGAGATGTAGCATCTCTGTGCATAAATGGGAATTGTCCTCCTGGGCATTCCAGAAGGAAATTGGGTTAATTTGTGTGTATCTAACAGACTGTACTCCATAGTGTTGTGACTGTAAGACATCGGGTATCAAACAGGCTCAAGTGAGCTCAGTTTGATCCTCGGTTGGGGAGGTGTCAAGGAGAGATTGTGGAAGAACACGATTTGTTGAATTCAAACTGGTAACACATGTACCTCAAGGAAAAGACGATTGGAGAAGACATCAGATTGGAGAAGACTGGATATCTTCTCCAATCTTCTGGATTGGAGAAGATATCCAGGCCACCAAGACGGACTTGGGATAGAGCTGAGACCAGCAAAGCGGCTGATTGGTTGGCTATCGGATAGATGGCTAGATGGCAGGAGAAGCAGGAGTTTTGATCTGTCTTCTTGCTGTCTGAATTCTACGATAGCCAAAGAAAGTGTTACTGCTAGCCAACTGCTTGTCTTCTGTCGTAAGGCGCCTTCTTGATGAACAAGTTCGGGAGATATGAACTATTTGAATTTTACCTTGTGTTATTGGTGTACCGGAACAGATGCCAATTGTAAACAGTTTTATTTTTAACTTTACTCATATCTTAGCTACTTCTTGACATAAGTTCTGCCAGAATTCAGCATTTGTCATAATGTGGCACTATTTTCTGTATCCCCTCATTAAAGAAATTTGTTGTCTGGAAGTTGAGTCATCCATCAGTGTCACAAATCAGTTCCTAATTGGATTCAAATTGTTGCATTTCAATCATGCTTTTCATTTTTGGGAACAAATGAGTCACTCAGTGCAAGCAAGGTTGAGGCTGTAGGTGGGGTGATAAAACAACTCCCAATAAAAAGAAAATAATACTAGTTTAAAAAAGTTACATTGTAACAGCAAAAGAGTTGACAAGAGTTGATTGCCAGTTGCATTGCTATACTCTAATCATAGAAAGAATTGTATTGTAATTTTAAATGAATTACAATAGAGGTTCTTATGATTTTAAATGATCATAGAGCTATATTTTTTATATCATTGTACTATTTCTAGTGTTTTACAGTTAAAATAGAATTTCATAATAAAACCCTGATTATTTTGACAAAGTATTAATTCTTTAATTTATTATAACAACATACTGTATTTCATACTTCATGAATGAAAATATATAAAATATGATTTTTAAATTTAACTATTGGATAAATAATTTCAAAAATTTAAAAAGGAAATACTTATAAATAAAAAAACATTGATATTTTTATATAGGATACTGATCCTTATTGTACAGCTGGTCAAGTTATAGATGTATATTCTTCTGGTCAAGTACAAGTGTCTTGGGTTAGTGGGAGAACTTCTCTTTGTTATCCTCAAGAATTGTATAGGGTGGGAGAATATGTAAGTATTACTAGATACATATTCTTTTTCTCAAATTTTACCATATTTTTAATAATTATACCATAAAATGGGGGTGAATAGAAACACCTTTCTGTCTAAATGATTCTGTAACTCCAATAACATTAATGATGTGACATCATAAGTTTTTTAAAATATTATTCTTACCCTCTTTAACAACTTCAAACTTTAGTAGATGATGTATGAAGTAATCAAATTCCTTGCTTTTTTTTTTTTTTTACTTGATGCTTCTTTTTACTTCTTGAGTTAGGATAAATAGGAACAGTAAATTAAAAATTGTTTGCTTCTATTTTACAACTAGAGAATTAAAACAAAATACTTTGCAAAACAGTTTATTAGTTACTTAGATCTTACATTACACACATTAGAACTTACACAGTTTTACAACACACTACTCAAATCACTTTGGTAATCTGGAAAACTGATTACATAAATAAAAATGAAAGAGCTTTTAAAAAAATACTCAAGTTAGTAAAGTCATTAAGAAAATTTGTTTTTGAAGCATACTGAAGAGCTGGTAATGGTCTCTTAATAACATTTCCATATTTAAGGTGAAATTCCTCATGTCTCCAAAAATTCCATCATCTGTGTTCTTCTGTAAAAAGAGCCTACATATCTACATTCTTCAATTTGACGGACTTTGGCAAAATACTGTCTGCTGGAATCTTTATTTTCTGTATACCTTCACTACAAAAGTCACCAAGTTTAAGAAAAGTGTCTTTACAAAAATAAATCAAGACTGATATGGAAACATATAAATAGATCTATTTAGCTATTTCAGAGCTAAGACTTTTTCAAATCTTAAACCATTGATACTGAAAAAAGTTGCATGGGATAAATAGAGTCATTTTTGTTGTATGCCTATTTACCCCAGAAATTCAAAATCAGAAGTCCCACCAAGTAAAAAAGTCACTGACTGACTACATATACAGGAATCAGAGTTGCTGATTTTCAGGGATTGATTTCTCTGCCCCAAAACACATGAAGTAATTCTGAATATCTCATTCAAAAGAAAATTATTTTCTTAGGTAGTATGCAAAATTTCAACATTTTCTGTAATGCAGTTGCCAAAATATAAGCAATTGAGAAGTGCAAAAAAAGCTGTATTTTCTTCTGGCACTGCAGAAGCTTGTAGAGAAAAAACTACTATGTCTAGAAAGCTCAAATTTTAAACTTAAGTCTTTCTCATTATCAGTGAGGGGTTCATGAAACTTTTGGGTCAATAGATCAAAGTTCATAGGGGTTTCCTCGTTCAATTTCAAGCTGAATATCGAAATAAGGCAACTAGAATTTTATCATTACTTTAATAAAAATATTAAGTGACAGTTTTGGCACTATGCAATGCAACCCCCATGTTACGGTAATCAAAATAATTGCCTTTTTATTTACTATTTTAGTTTTGATGAATTATTATTTCTTCATCTAATTTATATTGATCCTGTGTTGAGATTAAACTATTAAAAATATCCACTCTATTTATTAATTTAATTTGAATGTAAAAATTTTAAACTTAAAATTATAGTTATAATTGATACATTTTTTTATTTGAAAATTTTTAAAACATCATTTCTTGATGTGTAATTAACTCTGATAAAATATTAAAAAACTGATTTGAATCATTATTTTAAATGTACACAATACAATAGAGCATCGATTATCCGAATCAATTGGGGACTGGGGTTGTTCGGAAGAGCGATGTTTCGGATAACTGATTATGTATGAAAAAATATATTAATTTATCCCATCTTGACATTTTTCTCTGTTGCGTGTCGCTTTGCGTTGAATTTTCGTCAATGTTAAGCCTAACAAAGACTATTGTCTCGTTAAAAATTATTTTTTTATTTTGTACGAACAAAATAAATATATTGAAAAATATAAAAACAATAAAAAATTATGCTTCAGAAGTTAATTTAGTATCAAAAACGTAAAATATTTGAGTAGCCTAAGATATAGCCAAAGATTGCAGCGCCACAGCACTGGTGAAAATTTAAATTTGCTGACTGGAATTCTTTTGGATGATTGAATTTCGGATAATCGACGCTCTACTGTATATCAATTGTACAACCTCTGCCATTATATTCTACAGTATTGTAAAACTAAATTTTTGCTTAAATCCTTTATTTAAAAAAGTAGTCTTTTTAGTATAATAATTTCTATTCCAAATTATTTTTAAAATATTAATAAGCTATTAAAATTAAGAGTGATAAATATTTATTTTAAATTTATTTATGAAATATTTCAAAAAATTTTTATTTTTTAAGTCTAAAACATTTAAATAATTCTTATATATGCATCTTTTGGAAAATTTTTTACAGGATTCAGATGATCTCTGGGGAGATGATGAAAGTTTTGGTGATGAAGATAATGATAGTTGGGAAACAGAGTCTGAAGGTTCAATTTTTGGAGGAGAAGATGGGTAAATAAATATATAGCAATGACATATTGTACTTTTATAATATTTTAGATTGCAGATTAATTCAAATTTATCAAATAATTGAAAATATTTAAAAAATTCAATAAATTTATGAGATATAGGTCAAGACAGTTAAAATATAATACAGCATTGTTAATATACTATCAATTTTACATGAAATTACTTTTATATTTTTATTATTTATAGTAAATTGTAATTATCCAAATTTAATATAATAATTTAGAGTAGTATATATGATGAAAATTTATAATTATAAATTCTAATGGGTTTTAATAAATTTTTATTTTTAATACAGTAGATCTTGATGGTTTGTTGTTATTTTGATATAATGACTTAATAAATTGACCTAAATTTTTAATTTACAGCCATTGGTATTTTTGTCTTCTTGAAAGATTGTTTTAATAATTTAATTTTGTATATATTATATAATTAATGTAGAAATGTTTGGTAAAATTCTTTGAAATAATTTTTTTAAAATTTTTAATTAAACATTTTTGCATATATACAAAAAAAATCTAGTAACATGTTGGGGGATTATATTTTAAATTTGGAGTGCTATTTTTAAAAAAGAACAAAAATTTTACTCGTGAGTTTTAAGAAGTCTTATTTTAGCTGAGATATGACTCATGACCCCTTTCTATCTCCCCACTCCCTTCAGTTCCATACTCCAAAATTTAATAGCATATATGTCCCTTATGTACAAGATAATATGCCAAATTTAATTTTGTAATCTTGACTCTATCCCAAGACATTAAACAAAATAGATGCATGCACACATATAGACACACACAGAGACAGTGTGTATGTGGTTCAGAGGGTCTCAAGATGTTGAGATTTACAGAGAAACTTAGAGGGTAAAATTTGACATGTTTACAATACTTTCCTGTGTTATAACAGCCAGGAAATTAAAATTGGATATATTTGATTCTGGACAATATTTTACCATATTTTCATGGATTGTCTGGCATGTTGATCTATCCAGGTGAGACCATGAAATCAGATACCCCTCCATATGGTAAAAATCAGCATGCTGGTTTATCCCATGGAAATGCCGACATGCCAATTTTATGTAAGGTTATATATACCTTTCTAGAGTGCATGTAAAAAAATGAAATGATTTACATCATGTGGCATCTCATAGATGCCAGTTTTTATTCTGAAATTGTGAAGCTGTTGTCATTACACCAAAAACTGATTATATGTTTAATTTCTGCATATTGTCTTCTTTCTAATGATTAAAAATACTCATGGAATGTCCAAAGGGTTTGTTTATTTTATTATAATTTGATTTAAAATGCAAAAACAAACATATCAAATTTCAGAAACTCAGTGTAAGTTATCTCAATTTGCAGGATTAACATCTGTTTTGTGTAAAATTTGAGAGGAAGGTATTATTTTTCAAGGTCAGGGTAGTACCAGTAAAACTATTACTTTTGTGGCAGATTCAATGCAGTCTACACTGACTTACTACTACTACCGCCAATAAGTCCCTAATTGTTTTATTACCTTGTAAACAAAAACTGTCATAAATGAATCAAATTGCAATGTTATTTTATTGTACTGGAAAGAATGTTTTTTTTAACATTTATTTAACAACTAGTTTTGTTAGATCTGAATAATTTTATTTTTAGCTGAAGTTTAACGGGTATTCCTGTAATCCAGGGTTTTTGGTATGCTGGTCTCCTCGGTTATATGCAGCATGCTGGTCAATCTGCAAAAATATGGTATATTCTTGGTTAATATGTATGAAAAGCTTATTCATAATTCATATATTGAAATAAATAAATAAAGTAGTGTTTTTTAAATAATAATTTATTATAATAATAAACTGAATTTTATTAATATAAAGTGTAAGTCAACAAATAGTAAGATATACTATAGCTATTAGTATATTGACTGTTATACAGTATATAATTACATTTATGCAGTGAGAAAGAAGGTGAAGATGACAAGAAAGCTGAGAAAGCAATAAAGACTGATAAGATTGAAGAAAAACCACTTTCAACAGAAGATACCAAAACTTTAAGAGAGAAACTTTTGGCAAATATTGAAAAATTAAGGGCAGGAATGGCAAGATTAGAAGAAGTTTTTACTCAAAATCCCACCTTACAAACTTCAACTGTGATGCGAAAATTATTAGAATTGTATAAACATTGCAGGTAAGGTATGGTTTTTTTTAATTGCAAAAGTGTTATTACATTCCTTTAACATTTAAAAAAATAATTTTAGACTTTTAGATCAATTGCTTGGGACTTGTTATTTTCATGAAAGGCATCTTCAGTATTTAGTGGATCGTTTACGCCAGCGAGGAAGAATTAATAGTGCTCAACATGTTGCTGATCAAATTTCTCGCCTCTTTTCTGTTATAGATAGTGAAATTACTGATGAAAGTGGAATTGATGCAAGAGTTGAAAACTCTGTTAATCTAGATACAAATGATGCTATAAAAGATATACAACATGAACTAGAAAGTAAAATTAATATAGAAAAGGAAGAAATTGAAATAGAAAATGGTATAGATATGAAAAATAAAAATCAAAATGAACTTATTTCTCCAACTTCAGTTAACAGTAGTGAACCTAGAAATGTATGTAGACAGTTATGTTCTATATTAAAATCGCGTCTTTTAAAAGCTCATGAAGATGTGGAACAAAGATTTGGTATGTCAGCTAATAGTGCTAACAGTGCATTACTAGCAGTTAATGACGCACTTACAATTTCTGAAGAACAAGAGTTAAAGAAAGAAAGTCCACTTGAAGAACAAGAACTAGTTCAAGAACAACCAACAACAGTTAATGAAGATTCTGGAAAAGTTGTTGATAAATTAGAATTAATGGATACAGCTGGTCAAGGTTTGAAATTTTTATTTGAAATAAAAATATACTATTGTTCAAAATTAAAAATTGAAAGCAGTTTTTATTTATAAAATAATTATAATAATGATAATAATAATCACTTAACAAATCACTTAACGAAAACTTGCGTATAATTATTTCACAGATTGATTTTAATACTATAAATTTATTATTTTTTAAACTTTGCAATATTAAAATTAAATAACTTTCATTAGGGGTAAGATACTTTCTATGTATGTCTAAAAATCTTTTGTTAATAAAAGTCATTCACTTAGAAGCAAGTTGGGTCATACTCTAGTGTTTAGGCTTAAATATTCATGCAAAAATTATTTTGAGATTATGGAAATAATTTATGGAAACTAGTGAAGTATCAAGAAAACATGGCAGATTTACATAAGTAATACATATGAACCCTAGTAATCCTATCTTCCTTATTAGTGAAACATAAGGAAGCTTACAGCCATAAAATTTTCTCTAAAGTATGCTTCTGTCACATGAATAATAGACATTTAATTAGATAAATAAAACAACTCAAAGCAGAAATCAAAGCATTGTATTAAAATGTTAATGAGAGTGGCCTTTATATGAGACTGTTTGTCTTGTGTTCTCTTCATTCTCTTTTCCAGGAAACTTATTTGAACTATTGCAAACATCACTATAGTTCAAACTAGTATTCAGTATTGCTTTTACAAAGTAAATGATATTCAATTTACAAATGTTTTTATTTAGAGATGTTTATTTAGAGACTATGACAACTAATTGACAGATGATAAAAGCATTAATCTGCCATTGTAAAGACCAGAATTTGTACCCAAGTTTGACCCTCAAAAATTTTATGGTTGATGTGACCAATACAGAGTAGTCTTAAAGCCTATACGCAGTTTTATACTTCAATAACTAAAAATATATTATATAAATGTTTAAATTGTGTAATAAACAATAATTGAGAGACTGTTTGAAGTTTATAATAATTTTAGCAATATATAGAACTAATTTATCTTATGTTATTTATAAATCCCATTAGTGACTGTAAATTGTAACATTTGAACAGAAAGTAATTCATGCTTTGGCCTGCTGAGTTAGCAGTTGTTATTTACTTTAATTCTACAAGGCAGAACATGTAGTTTACTTTTTCTGTTGCATTTGGAATCATCATTGGGATCTGTATAAAAAACATATAACATATTTCTACATTTATAAAATTATTACATAAAATTTAAGATCTTAAATATTACTTACTGCATAGTTTTAATATCTGTATGTAAAGGCATGAACTGTCAATGGGAAGTCTCTGTCTTTGTAATTTCTCCAAATGGAGATTTCTCAGAAATAGTATTCCTGGCATCCCCTGAAATTAGGCCTTTGCATATTAGGTCTATAGTCATGGCTCTGTTGTTTGTTTTATAGTAGGTCTTTTATATGCTTGTTATCAATTTTCAATTTGGAAGTGAAACCTAGAATTATTTATTGAATACAATAGAACTGACAATATATTGGCATGATCTCGTTGCTTAAATTGTGATTATTTCTCCATTCCAGCTTCGTTTGTAAATGTTTTACTCATACCAATGGATAATTAAGGCAAAGTAAACTTGTTGGACTTGTTGAAAGAATTGGTTGACAATAAGTGTAGCAATAGCTTTTGTTTTGTGCAGGTATGTTGTTGTTAATGTTTAAAACAAGATAAGATAGTCAATTATATTCACGCCAAATGCTTTTTTTTAAATTGCATGCTGTATCAAGTCTATTAACTGTTCTCTTTCCTTTTGTTCTCTTGCAACAGGCACATGATGTTTTTGTTATCCTGCAGTGAATGAATTGATGCAATGGGGAAGTGTATTATTAAATCAGATTGGTTCACCAAGACAACTGGCCAGGGAAGGAAGATTGATATGTAGACCAGAAAGCAAGATGATCATGTGGACCAGAAAGCAAGATGATCATATGTTCCAGAAGACAATTAACATAGTGTCAAAAGAATTTCATGCTCCACTATGACATTACTGACAGACCGCCCTGGAGCTAATGGATTGAAAACATGGCTAAAAAGGGGTGATCTTTCAAATTAGCAACAGTGCAACATCATCTGCCTGAATACCAACTGATTCAAACTAACCACATGGCCAAATCTCATTTTCTGGGCTACTTCCTGCCACAATATGATTATGCAGTGTTCAACTGCTGAATTAATATGATTGATGACAGTTATTCAAAGTAACTATTCATTGTCATCCTATGATGCTATTATTAACACTTTTGAAACCATGTTTCCATCAAGTGCAATTTCAGAGGGTGAGTTTGGGTCACATAAAGTCACAGTATCTCATAATCTATGCTATAGGTTCATATTTTGAAAAATCAGTCATAACTGACATGTAGAATTTTTTGCACATGGTAAATTATGATGAGATAACAAACAATTCTGAAAAGAAGGAGCTCCTGATCAGTCAGGTATTGGCCTGAAAAGGAACATTGTATTATTCCACAGCACTTTTGAACATTTTTTATGGTGAGGGCTATAGCAGAAGACATATCACAAATTGCAGGAAGCACTTGATAAAAGTGGACTTTTGCTTAACCTGTTGATGTTGGGGAGTGATAATCCAATTGTAAATAAAAAAAGTTGGCTGGTTGATGAATGAGGTGATAAAGCTTTGTTCAAGTTTTTCCATGGGTAGCTGGAAAGATTAAATTTTGCTGAGATACAAGAGAAATTATGGCTTCCTAAACATTTTTTACATCCTTAAGCAAGCATTTTCCATCTAGATGACTGACAATTGAAAATACAGCTGAATGGATATTAGAACAGTGGGATGCATTAACAGTTTATTTTCTCAAGCAGATTCCTGCAGAGAACAAATTGTTGTCCAACAATAATTTCTACAGAGAAATCTGTAGATCACTTAAGACAGTAACCATGAAAGTTGAACTATTATTCATTCCTTCAAGTGTAAAACTGTTCACAAGGTTCATTGACACTTTTCAAAATGATCGTTCCTTAATGGTGCTTAAGGCGCTGATAGCTAGAGTCTGAACACTGGAAGCAACTAAATCTGACATCACTATGGAAACATTTGTCAAAAAAAAAAAAGATCTTAAGAATATAGTCTGTGGAGATAGCATCATGGAAGAACAGCTTGCTTTCTTAAAGCAAACCAAGAATGGTTATATTAGTGTTTGTAAGCATATTATTGCTAAAGCACCTGTATCAAAGTCACATATATTAAGAAACTTTAAATTTAATTAATCATTCCATTACTGATTTCTGTGGAGTTTTTTTTTTAAACCTAAAGTTTTTGGCTTTTTTCCCCCCAGTAACTTACAGTATCACACAAGTTACAATTATTGATATAGGCTTTATTAATGGAGGAAAAAGTCCAATCCCAGCAGTAACCACTAGGTAGTGGACTGCTAGTCTGAAAACTTTAAAATTTTTTCAAATAAAACATGAACAAGAAGACATAGCTTGTGATGTACTGATTGTCTCTAAAGTGTTTCCATTGAGAGGTAAGAGAAATGGAAACTGCTACAGCTTGAAAAAAGTGACTAAGGAGAGCAAAGCAAACAAAATTAATGAATACTGGAAACAATTTTTCATTATGAAGACATTAACACAAAAACTAACATAAAATATCCTAACATAAAAATTGTGAAGGCACTTGCTCATGGCAATGCTGATAGTGAAGATCTTAGTGAAGTTCTTTCCCAAACTCTGTCTCGTTGAGTTGGTTTCTGTGTGTATCACAATTCGATGTAGTGATCTGGGTTTGATGGAAAGCACACCTCCACACTCAAATTGATAATATTTACAGTTTATTTACAGATTCTATATGCAGAAAGTACAAGTTCGAAAACATAATATATATACAGGATAACAATGCGTGGTGACTCGTACTAGATTGGTTTTCGGGAACTGTTAAACTTTGGAGAGGCCTCAGTTAGCTTGTGGAGTTGGCTCAACTGCACAGTCAGTCCAGTCTCTGCACTAACCTGTCCCTGAGATATTTACCAGAGGAGAACACTCTCTCTACTCTCAGTGGGCTTCCCAAGTGCCTGAGACTACTGTGTACCAGTCTCTTGTCCTTCTCTCCTCCCTCTCCCATTCATTCCACAATTTAAGGGTTTTTTGGACAGAAACTTCCGACCAATCACAAACCTTTCTTGCCTGAACAGCTTTAACCTAGGTCCACTGTTATCAGACAAGAGTCAAGCTTACAGTAATGTCTGCCGCTTGTTTACATTCAGTTGTTTATCATATGGCAAGTGGTCTATCGTCTGATTACAGGTGTGTCCAATTGACAAAGTTGGCACTTCCTTTATTTTTCCTCTGTTTACAAGTCAACACCTTACAAGTGGTATATTACCCGACCGCACATGGGTCCAATTGACAAGGTCATGCTTCTTTTGTTCTCCCTCTGCTAAAAGGTCAATACTTTACACTGATGTTGAAAGGTTTTCTAGTTCAAAAAAGTGCTCTCAGAGGAATGTGCATCCATGTCTGAGAAGTTATTAAATGCCATTGGAACAACATAGATTGTTTAACAACAAGTTAATCTTGTACTAACCTTGTACTAGTGACAGAAGAACTGCTCAGTCTGGCAAAGACAGCCAGGAAGTTGCACATGGATTTTCTAGAAGAGGATAAAAGGAAAAAAGGGCATACAAAATAAAAACAAGAAGTGAATGGAAGGAAATGGAAAAGGCTATAAAATAAAAGAAAACATACACAAGAGCAGGAGTGACCTGTCTGCCTGGTTATATCTAAATTAATAGTTTCTAAAAGTGAAGGTCAAAGGTCTGGATAGTGTAACTGGCAACACATCTGCACAGTAAGCAGGAGTTGCAGGTTTGAGCTCTGCTCCAGGCCAATTCTTTTCTTCCATAAATTCTAATATTAAAAATTAATTTATTATAATTATTAAATTATCTTAAGATGTGGTCTATCCACCTACCTCTAGACAAATTACTTCATATTTAATTATTAATTTAGTCTTGTTATAGCCTGATAATTTGGCAGATTGTATGGTTTTAAACTGTCAGGTTAGTGGACTTGTTTATTTATATAGAACAGAAACGGACATTGAACAAAAGAATAGAGAAGAGAAAATGAAAATTAGCAAATGCATTGGTTATTCAGGCCAAGAAAACAAATTAAAGAAAGCTGTAAAATCAAAAAATTTTGACAGGTAGAAGTTACAATATTACAAAAGGCATAACTGCTAGACAGGAAGAGGACAAAAAGTATGACACAATAGAGTTATTGCAAAAAACTATTGAACAGAAAGAGACAACTCTCATCACATCATTTCTGAATGAAAGATTCAAGAAGTAATCATCGAATACTGAATCACTTATTGAGTATATTTAGCCTCTGTGTTTTGTCATATGTATTGAACTCTGTCAAGCGAAAGTGCTAGTTGTTGTCATAAAAAATATGAATGAATGCAGTTGCAAAAAAAGCTTATGAAATCATAACTAAATAAAAAAGTCTCCTTTTAGTCTTTCTCTTAATTTTTTTTTTTTTAATTCTCAGATAGTGGGAAACCTGAATACAAGAACAAATGTAGAGACTTATTGTATTAGTCAATAAATAAATGATTTTCTCATGGAAATACAATCTATATGTTTATGCTATATTTATAATCAATAGCAGTAGAATTAAAACTTTTCTACAGTATCGATAGAGATCAAAACCAGGGCCTAAAATGTTGAATAGGTGCATGCCATTGTATATGTTTGTAGGAAGCAAGGGATAGGTGAGATCTTAAGTTTATATAAGGATTGTTTAGGATATTATTGAATTCTGATTTCTTTTATGGACAGTAATGTATATTCACACAGAGCTTAGTTTATTAGGTTGTTTGGAAAGTAAGTTCGTTTTTTTTTACCACTAAGCGGATTAGTTGTATTTTTCCCGCCATTTTCATTCTAAACCGTATTATCATTATATATTTTGACAGCTAGCATTTTAAAGCTTATTTGTAAAAAATTTTGTTTGATTCTGTGCAATTGCTTATTTTTTGTGTCCCATCGAATATGGAAGATCAAAAGCATCATTTTCAGCATATTTTGCTTTTTTATTACCAAAAAATCAAAATGCTGTTCAAGCAAGGAAAAAATTGTGGTACATGTATTGATGAGATGATGTGTTGAGAGAAAGACAGTACCAAAACTGGTTTACAAATTTCATTCTGGCAATTTCAATATTGAAGGTGCATTACGTTTTGAATGGCCAGTTGAAGCCAATGAAAACAAAATAAAGGTACTGATTGAAGCAAACTGCCGAATAACAACACATGAAATCATTAAGAGATTAAATTTGTCAAATTGAACCATTTATGATTACTTGAAACAAATTGGTTTTGTTTCAAAGCTTGATATATGGGTTCCACATGTTCTTAAAGAGAGATGCTATCTTTGGTGGGATTTTATGGAAATTTTTTTTTTGATGCTTTTACCAGACAATTTAACAATTGTTCGAAAGTGTACTGCCATCGAGTAAATAAATTGAGTAATATCATCAGACAAAAAAGGCGGCCAAAATTGATCAACAAAACAGGTGTGTTTTATCACGATAATGTCAAATTTTACACAAGTGCCAAACTTTTGTGAAATTTGGCTCATAATTGTGTGAAATTGTTGTGTGTGTGAAATTTCACTCATAATTGTGTGAAACTGTTATAAATTAGATGGGATGTGCTATCATACCAACCATATTCGCCAGATTGAGCACACTCAGATTATTACTTGTTTCAGTCAATACAAATTTTTTTTAACTGTAAGACATTTACTTAAAATGACAATATCAAAAATCACTTGGATCAGTTTTTTGTAAGCAACGATGAAAACTTTTATGAATATGAAATCATACTACCAGAAACGATGACAACAGGTATTTGACCAAAATGGTTGATATATAATTTAATAAAATAATATTTTTATAATAAATAAATATGTTTTTTCCCACGGAAAAAACGAACTTACTTTCCAAACAACCCAATATTAAATTTTTGTGAGAATGAGAATATTCAAAGAATCAATTGATCAGTTTGAATCTGATAACCCAATATTAGTTTCATATATTATTTTTTTAGTGACTCAGTACTTTTTGAGTTTTGTTTAAACATTGATAAATGAATCCATATTTTGAGTCTGTAAGTACAATATGGTTTATAATTAAACTGACCCTATTCAGACATTGCTGTGGTTTCCAATTCTAATGAACATATGCCATTGAAACTTATTATAGTCAGGTGATGTAATTGTACCATTCCACAATATCTCATCAGCCAATCAAAATTAAACTGATATCAATACATTGATTTATAGCTCATAAGTATAGGTGTGACCACAGAGTCGGCACCTCTTTGATGCCACGTCAGGACTGACACCACTGTGCTTTTTAGGACAGACACAGAAACCTTGATAGCTGCTTTTACACAAGAGCAGTCATGTTGTAGGTGCTTGGGCTTGGAATGGAGATCTGAGACAACTGGAAGAAGTGAATGCACTCCACTACCAGTTTAACAATTAACAATACCCATTTATTTATATGCAATTTATGCTTAGCAAGGTGCTAATTTTATATATCAATTATAGTCCCTAACCAAGAGAGAGAGTTTACAAATCCATCACGTGTTGGTAAATACCTTAGTAAAAGTTGGTTCCTTGGGAAATCATAGAATCGGCAGATTGATGAACTGCTGGTCCACAAGGTGGTTCAAAAGGTGCTCCAACAAATTGAAAGGGTGGAAGTCTTTGGATTCCTTGACAAGGGTAGAGGATTGGCAATGGCTTGAGCAGTGTCCAGAAGGGATCAGCAAGCACACCAGTTTTCAGAACTATCAATGACGGCAAACGCTGATTGTCATTGATCCCCTCCTTTTTATTAGGTGGTCCTTCATGGGTTTTTCCCATGACCTTATTTGGAATTATTTTACGTCAGGGCAAATAGTTAAATTTCAATTATTGGTTCTGGGTGACACGTTCAATGTGTCATTTTCAACAAGGAAGCAAGTCCATGGGAAAAGTTTTAATCATATCCTTTATGATATTTTTCTTTCAAAAAAATTTTTTGAATAAAAATTTCTTTTGTCAAGTCTGGCTCTCACATAGGTGTGAGGTTCTTGCTGGGGATAGAGAGTTGGGAGTGTACTCTTTACTGCTTAATCAGCTGTTCAGTCTTAGAGACTGGCCCGTGGGGTCGAAGGATGGCTTCCTAAAACTTTAATGAGAAACAAGGGTCTGTGAAGATCCCCTGTAAGTTGCTTTTTCCTGACACCAGCCTAGTTATAGCGTCAGGCACGCTAACATTCGTTTGCGAGGAATTTCGAGTGAGCGGGATGAGAATAAGTGGAATGGATGTGGGCTTGGAGTTGAAACAGAGATGAGACCATATTAAACAAATAACAAAGATTTAATAAAAACAAAATTAAATGGATAAATACAATAAAATACAAAATAAAATAACTAAATATTGCATCTAAACTGGAGAGCGTTAACACTAATAATCCTTAATATGGAAGATGAGAGAGAGTTTACAAATGATATTATATTATATTACCTCTGTGATAACGTGAACTATGTGAATCATAATCTTGGGTGGAAGTTACCTGTATGAGGAATTATGGCACTTAGTTAAACAAGGACATGCTGAGGCACTGAAGAGCTGAAGTGTCCCGAGTTTAGTGCATATCCCTATTTATTCTTTTCAATTTCTCCAGATCTCTTCTAATAGAGATTGAGCTTAAGGATCATCTGACTGGGTGTCATGATGAGTCTTTTGGGTTTTAGTCAGCCATTTAGTCATGGGAGATAAAGATCTCTCTCAGGAACTCTGACTGCCAACACAGAAAACATTTGTTCCTGGTTCTCTTTGATGTGTAACTTTGATAAAAATTCCGACTTATATTTAATTTTTAACGTTTTTCTATCCATTTTCTAGAATAATTTCCCTAAAAATTCATCATCTCGCATAGGTATTGGTAGTATTTAAGCTAGTTTCAACACAGTGCCTGTATTGTTTCAACAATGGTTTGTAAAGTCTGGATAAGTTTTGATCTTTTCTTTTGACAGGGTGCAACTACAGTAATTTTTGTATTTAAAATCCTGTATTTGTGATTTTAAAATACAATACTTAGAGTATCTGCAGCCATCATTCTACAATATTCATTTAAGTTGTGAGGCATTTTGTTGTCCACATGCTTTGTCACAAGAAGCTAGGAATCATTTACCCCTTCACTAGGAATCTTCATGGTGATTATGTTGAAAAAGTAACCATGTTTGTACCCAACTTTAATAAATTCATTTTGTTATTTATATTTGTCTTTGTTTTATGGACCATCGGAGGTTGAAAAAGAAACATCCCTCGTATTTTACTTTATTTCTTATAAATGATTCACTTTACTCATGAATATAACTTATTTCCTTTATTAATTTAATGCAAGACAATATAGTTGCTGTGCAAAGCTCTTCTCTTTTAAAATACATATAAACTAAAAAAACAAACATAAAATACATAAAAGTAAAGGAACATATAAAAAATACTATAGAATAAATTAAAAATTTTTTAGAATATTAATACATGTTATTTGTTTCAGGTATATTTTCATTATTAGATTCTGTGCCAGATTCTCATAAGTACAAATTAAGTATTCTTCAACCAACAGATCCTCGAGCATTTTTCAGAACAGTAAAGAAGGAGGTATTGATTGAATCATATCCTTACTTAAAATTTAAGCAAATAATGAAATTTTGATATTTTCTATTACTTTATTTTTTTATATTTGATTTTTCCTTTGAAAAAGATCTTAATTTATTATTTTTATAGTAAATTTTACAATAAATTATGTTAACTAAATTTTATTAAATAACAAAACTATGAATTAATATAAAATTGGTAGTAATATAATTTATATTATGTAGCTTATTAAAAACTTAAAACACTAATTACCATAAGCAACTAGATTTTTAATAATTAACTTTTTAGACATAAAATTAACTATTACTATAATAAATTTGTTACTAGAAATTATCTGAATTATGTTACTTCTGTATCAAGTTTTTTTAAAATATAATAATTACCATGATGATTCTATTATTCATTGTTTATAATAAAATAATATCTTATATAATACTAGAATGAAAATTTTTCCAGTGCTTGTTCCAATGCACAATTTCTTACATGCATAAAATGACAAAAAATAAAAATTTTATGAAATTTGCACAGTCTGTTTTTTTGTTAATTTTACATTTCAGCAATCAGCATTTCAACTTTTTAGTTTTCTAAGCCAGGGTTTCTGACATAAAATAAATTCCAAGCTTAACTTATTATTGCAAACAAGTTCTAACCTGAATTCAATAGCTATAAGTAAAAAAGTTCTCATTGACAAAAGATAAAATTGAATTATGTTAAATTTTCTGTGCTTCTGATTTTTGTATATCTAATTCTGAATCTAGTTTTTAAGTTTTAACAAGTAAAATGGCAAGGCTGTATTTGGGACAAGACTATGTCTCGGAGATTCACTACTAACTAAGTGGGATCACTTTGACGCTCAAGGTGAATCTCATTCTCATTCTCCAATTTTTTTTGGTATCACTGGTTTTGAGCGCAATTGTTCAAACTTTGCTGGCCACGATCACGAGGTCATCCATGATGCATCTTCGATGAAATTAACTTATCCAGTTTAGAAATTTCTCTCCGTTGCATGACTGCTCGGGTTTAATTTTTATTGATGCGTAACAAAAATTTCCCATTTTTGAAAAAATAATCATGGCTATTGTATCGTCCGAAATTATTTTCTTATTTTGCACAAAAAAATATATCTATAATATAATCGAGACGGGTTGATGATAATAATAATAATAATAAGTGCAGAGCCCAAACGGTTAGGAGTTGGAAGTTGAAATTTGGTACATAGATAGGGTACGTCATGAAAACGCACACTAAGAAGGGATTTTTCGAAATTCCTCCCGGGGGGGAGAAAGACAGGATTAAGGCTTAACACTTCCATCAACAATGGAAGTGTTAAGTAACAATGGCGGTGTTAAGTAACAATGGAAGTTTTAAGTAACAATGGTATTGTTAAGAGAAAGCAACGTGCAAGATTTACAGGCGCAGATGCAGTTCTTTCGTTTTTGTGGGAAATCGAACATATTTTTAGACCCATCAAAAAATTCTCTAATTAGTCTGGAAACAAGGGGGCCTAATTCTTGCATTCTGTGAAAACGGGTAAGGTTGACTGTAACGTAATAATCTTTATCTTAGTTATCGTTACTTTTGCCCGAGCAACGCCGGGCCCACCTGCTAGTATATATATATTAATAAATGTAAAAAAAATTATATTTCGGAAGTTAGTTTTAATATAAAATTAAAACAACTAGGGCCATCTACTTTCAAAAATGTTCTGATGCTGAAACAAGATATCTTGAGTCAACCAGTCAAGGTCAGCATGTTGCAACTAGAGATATGTTGGGAATAACACAGGACAGGTAAATAGGTTTTTTCAAAGATTCGTTTCTTGAAATTAGATTTCGCAACATTTGCATTTCCAACTTCCCAACAAACAACACATGCGCAAATCTCGCACAAGTGCCTGTTTGTAGAAAAAGTGTCACAATTTTGTATTTTATTTTGACTCTGTTCTCAGACCCCTGAGTACCTACAAGTCTGGTTTTTTTATGCACGCATGATTTTGGCACCTAATAATCTGTGCCAAATTGCAACTCCTGACATGTATTCCTTCATACCTCTAAGGTGGTAAGCCAGGACAGCATTGTGATTTTATAAACAAGACATAGTCTTGTCAAAAAGTAATGTTTATTGTCATTATAGAATTGATAAATGGTTAAACCTTGACCTGTCATTCCTGGATGTATCACTTTCCCAGAAAAGTTATTCAATTTCTACGGTTCCTGAACATATCCTGTTTAAACTATGTAAATTAAACTTATGTTGGATGTTCCTCAATTTATCATTTTCCTGCATCTGTTGGTTAGAATGAAATCTTAGAATCTTTTAGTCTTGAGGAACATTAATCTTAGATTGACTATTTTTAAGACAGAGAGACACCATACACAAATGTTAATACTCATTGACAATGATAACAGCAGTTGATTTTTTTTAATGTCTTGGAACAAATTGCAGAGGTTGTTTTGTTAGCTGTGCAACCTTGCATGCATCTTATCTAGACAACAGGCTGGAGAGGAAACAGTGTTGCCATCTTTTCAAAATTGCTAACCCAGACATTTTAAAATAAGGATGTTATACTTAGAAATAAAAAAAATAGGCTTTTTTTTTGTTGTGAGTAGAAAATAAATATTTTTTTTTATTAGAAGGTAAATATGTACATGATTTATTATTATTAAAGTAATACAATAATCACATGTGGCATATCCAAAAATAATTAATAACAGTCTGATGTCCATAACCATTTTTTAAATTTGTTTTGTGTCAGCCAATCTTTATTGAATTTACCTTACAGTTTGCTTCCTCTTTTTTTAGATTTTCAATTTCTTGAGTTGTCATATTAAATAATTAAAATAGAAATTATAAACTTGTAAACCGAAACTGTCACATTTGCTTTACAATAGGCTTGTTCCAACACAAGTCCCTGACTGGTTTGAATTTGAAATCGTATGAGGCACGCACAATGTAATTTTACAGCCAAGAACTGAACAATGAACAATTCACATTCTAAATCCGCCCTTGTGCGTACCAGATATATCTTGTCTGTGGAAGGAAAACTGGTGCTCTCAATCGAAGAAGCAAGTGAATTTTAATTGTGTCCTCTTAAGAGACTATATAAAATGATGTTTTTTGGGTATATTTATAATAATTTACATGGCTGCATATTACAGGAAAAGGCTGCTTTATAAAAACAAAAAATTTGAAAGAAGAAAGGTGGAAATCTATGATATTGAGCTTGCCAATCGGCCATCATACTTACTTGACTGCACTTGTCCACGATTTGTTTTTATGAACTCGGTATATACAAGGTCTGTTCAAAAAGTATCGGACCTTTGGTCGGCAAAAATAAATTTATTGACTTTGAGGTACAAAACCCTAATCCCCTTCAAAGTAGTCTCCTTGGTAATGTATACACTTCTCCCAGCGTTCCTGCCATTGCTGGAAACACTGCTGGAACGCATCTTTTGGAATGG